TGGCATGTCATTTGTTTAAATTTATGCCAGGGTGACATCTTTGCATGTCACTGACACATAATACATATTTTATATATATTTCATATATTTTGTACTGCCTTATTAACACCAACCAATCATAATATTGCTTATTTTGTATAACTAACTTATTAGATAGCATATCAAATAGGCTTTTTACATGACTACATTCCCAGGTACCCGTATGTGTTTTTTATAGCAATCTGGTTTCACCGAAATGAGGATTAATCGGTCCCGCAATAATGTAAGCCGATTTTGAGTAAGTTTTGTAAAAAATTGGCAATAAGCAAAGTTTCGAAACTTTATTTTCTTATACTTAGAGTCTCGAACCATTAAATGTTTATCCAGATAATTATGAGATATCCGTTATCTGTAATCCAAAGTAGCTGGATACCCGTTCACTATTGATATCCGAATAATTATTCGAATATTTTGATTATTCGGAGATCTAATCTGTTTATCCAATATGAATTATTTGAATATTTCAGATACGGATAAACGGATGACAGATTTATCGTATTGGAACACAATTATAACTATAATTAATATAGGCTTATTGATTTTTGTATTGGTTTTTGGGTAATTTAGATGGAACCGATTAGTGATTGAGAAAGTGTGGAGGAAATTTAATCGATCAATCCTTAATCGGTCCCTTAAATTGTTCAAAACCAACGCAAAAATTAATAAACCCATATTAATTATGATTATAAAAAATAAGTATTCTGTAACCTAACCTAATGGTTAAAAAATACAATTTTTTTTACAAAACTTGCTCAAAAAAGGCTCATAATTGCTGCCGAACGATTAACTAAATTTGGTGTAACTGCATTGTATGTCAATATTTTATTGCCAAATAAATCACATAAAATACACAAAATTTATAAACTTATTTATAGAATGCATTTCACATAACTAATTTTCGTACAGTTTGCTTTTGTTATTTTTTTTCTTTTTATCTTTAACCTTTAAAATGCCGATTGAAGAAGAATTACCAAACAACCGCAATAGCCATCCTGTTAAATGTTCAAACGGTGTTGATGCACTAAAAGATGATAAACAAGATTCTAAGGTTCAGATAACCGATACTTCATATGAATATGATACAAATTTGAACGAAATTATAGAAACAATATGTTGTATATATCAAGAAGAAGAAATGAAAGGAAATTTTGGTATTGATATTATTAACTTGATAGATCAACTTTTAACAAGCAAGCAACAAAAACCAGAGGTTATAATAAATTGGAAATTTGGTTTGAATAATCAAATTAATCAAATAATTCAAAATATACTTGGACATTGTTATCTTCTTGGAATATGGGTTAAAAAGGATCATGTTAAAGCATTTATGTATTTTCAAAAATCCGCTGAAATGGGCGATGCAGCTGGAATAGGTTGCGTCGGATTATGTTATTTACATGGTTTTGGTGTCGAAATAGATCAACAGAATGCAATTAATTATTTTCAAAAATCTGCAGAGATGGGAAGTTTTTTCTCGATAGATTGGCTTTGTTATTTTTATGCTTATGGTGTTGTAACCGAAAAAAACGAAAATAAGGCATTTAATTATTGTAAAAAACTTGCTGATATGAAGAATGCATATGGAATGAGACTTCTTGGTTATTGTAACGAAAAAGGAATTGGTATTGAAAAGGACACAAATAAAGCATTTAGTTGTTATCAAAAATCTTCTGAGATGGGAAATTTAGAAGGAATAGTTTGCATTGGTTATTGTTATGAAAAAGGAATTGGTGTTAATAAAGATGAATACAGTGCATTCACTTATTATAAAAAGTCTGCTGACATAGGGAGTACTTCTGGAATAGTTCAACTTGGTTATTGCTATCAAAATGGAATTGGTATCGAAAAAGATACGCAAAAGGCATTCTCTTATTATCAAAAATCTGCTGATATGGGTAATAATAAAGGTATAAGTCTAATTGGTTATTGTTATTTCAAGGGAATTGGTATTGAAAAAGATGAACATATGGCATTCACTTATTTTCAAAAATCTTTTGAAACCGTGAATTATGAGGGAATCTGCAACCTTGCTTATTGTTATCTAAAAGGAATTATAGTTGAAAAAAATGAATCTATGGCATTCATTTGTTATCAAAAATCTGCTAATATTGGTGATTCATCGGGAATGGACTGGTTTGGACACTGCTATGAAAATGAAATTGGTGTTGAAAAAGATGAATATATGGCCTTCATCTATTATCAAAAGTCTGCTGATATGGAGAACAGTAATGGATTAAAAAATCTTGGCCGTTGTTACGAAAAAGGAATTGGAATTGAAATGGATAAACATAAAGCATTTATTTATTTTCAACAATCTGCTGATATTGGAAATTCTTCTGGAATGGACTGGCTTGGATACTGCTATGAAGATGGAATTGGTGTTGAAAAAGATGAATATATAAAATATGTATTATGTGTCAGTGACATGCAAAGATGTCACCCTGGCATAAATTTAAACAAATGACATGCCA